AAATCCAGTCTATAAAAGGCAGATTCAACCATAGCTATTTGCCCTGTTGTGGTTCTACTCACAGTTCCCAATAGTGCTTTGCTTTTCAGTGTGTTCTTTTGTTTTGACCTCGGCTTTCTGACTAGTCTCATTTCTGTATTCCTGACCCGGCTTTGGTATCTCTCTTCTGTGTTTTCTGGTTCCCTTGACTCGGCTTGTATTCCTTGATTCCATGACTTCTGGCTCCCTTGGCTTGTCCCCGACCATTCTTTATCTGTCTAACGTTAAGTCCGACCATTCTAAAGCCTGGTATATGCTTTTCTATAACATCCTGCATGTTGGGTCTCTAAGGAATCCTGACACAAAGCCAGACACACCAAGAATATGGAGCTCCTACAATAGAGACATTAGGATAAAAAGAGGGATATTAAGATAAAAAGGAGAGAAAGAAGGAATTGGGGCTGAAAACAGGGAATGTCCCTTTTAAATAGGGACACTTGGGAGATATGAATTTGTGATGCTACAAATCTGCATTGCCATACACTAGCATTGAATATGACCATACACAAAAATAAACTAGGATTTGGAGGCATACCCAGGTCACGCATTTCTCAGTAGTGGTTCTGCTGTAAAGACCAAAATATATATATATTTTGATGTTTACGGCAGAACCACTACTGACAAATGCATGTTCCGGATGTGCCACTAATTCCCTAATACCAGAATCCTGCCCATTTGGAGGTGAGAACAGAGAAGCATAAATTGAGGAGAGCCTCTGGAAGCAGCTTAAGCCTAAGCATTGCAAGTTAGCATGTTTATCTCCTATGTTAAAATAAGTGAAGAACTCACCAATATTGGAGTACTTTGATCTAGTGGCAGGCTTAACACAATATGGCCATATGGTGTAACTTTTAAAACCCATATTTGTTTGTTAAGATAGGTGACGTTATATAGCCTTGTAAAATTTAAAACAGTATTATTTCATTTTATTTTTCTTGTGTGTGCACTGTTTCTTAATCTGTATTATGAAATATGATTACAGCATCAAATATGAACAGGAAAATCTGAAGGAAAAATATATATGTTAAGGTAGCACCTCTATATCCAGTTTTAAACACCATTTAGATTGTTAATAAGCAAAATATGAATTACTGTGGCCTAGAGAGCCTATCGCCCTCTGTTTAATGTATACTTTACTTAGGGTAACTTAGAAACTCACAGAAAATGAGGCAATTTTACGCCTCATTTAGTTTAATGTTGTTAAAGGACTAACATTTTAATCAGTTTTGACATTAAGGAAACGGGAAAACATTTTGGAAAGCTGACTTTACACATATGGTAAGATAATAAATTACAGAGCCAACCAGACCTACTTTTTTAAGAATACAAAACAATATTATCTAAAAAAATATTTTGTTCATGCAGCATTCTCCTAAGAAAAATATAATATAATTATTAAAAAATAAACTATAATTAAATTAGCAAAGTAAAAATATTTGTTCATGTCACATGTCACCAAAACAGTTTATTTAAATTTTAAAATGCAATTAGATACTATCAACTTCAAGACAAAGGTTGAATTCTAAAATATATGACTCTCACCGGTCTTTTGGTAGTTGAGATATTTGCATTTTTTCTGCCAAAGCAACATTATTTTTTCTTTTTTTGTCGTTTTGTTTTTGTTTTTCGTTTTTCTCCCAATTAAATTAATAATATTGAAAAGACAAATAAAATAGTATAATTTAGAAATATGTATGATAAAATGGCAAATCTGCTTTTTTCATTGTTTCGATGATGACAGATGAATAGCTTGTAATAAGTAAAAACAAATCCATGTTGCTAGCTCGTCACATGAAAAGAACAAAAAAATGACACACATTAAATAAAAATCAGATTAAAGCATGGCTGACAACATAAAATGTGAATGATAAAAGTAATATAATGTACATATCATACAATAATTAATTTATTTACATCAATGTTCACAATATAAATGTTCATGCATCGTGTGAAAACTGCAAGCAAAGCTTGGACAGGCTCGGATTGGCAAAAACTAATGGTGTAACAGCAAATATATTTCTTCTGTTTCTCGAGAGATGACGAGTTGAGCCAAAAACCACAAGTATGAAAATGAATTGCAAGTACCCTGCCGATTAGCCAATATATAATCCACGCACAGCATGACAAGTATATGCCATTCATTTTATTTTATGTAAACTGCAGTGTTCCCAGTGCTTGGATCACTACAGTCTAGAAGTTCTCACCTCTAACCTATATCTACCGCCTGAAATAGCTCTCACTGGGGAACAAAGTAGTTCATTTTCTGCCCAATTGCGTTAAAGCTATGTGATACATACTGAAAGAATACGTTGCATAAAAAAGTTATGGTCCATGTTTTGTGGGACGTTGTATCAGATTTACTCATAACATTCACAAATTGCTCAAACATATCAGGAAGCAATAGCCAATTTAGCTCCATGAGCAAACATTTTCTATAAGAAACAGACGAAAGAGTTGTTGTTATATATTTTGTTGAGTCTTTAACGTCATTAAATGTTATAGTGGTAGATAGGAATGATGGACCTTATGAACAACTGTACAATTACAACTGATGGGTAAATTGACTTCTCAAATATGAACTTTATCACAAGATCTGGATCAGTTCGCTAGATACATAACTCTTTATGACACATTTTTGGAAGGTTATTAAGGTGGCCATAATACTAATTCGTCTAATTTCCTGCACAATTTTTGTAGGAATTTATTAATTCCATCGTATTTTTTTATCTGTTTCCTTTTTGCTTACCATCCATCATTTTCTAATATATGCTGTTTTTGTGACGAAGCAATGAGGATCTCAATATTTCTGCCACTTTTTAAAACAGAAAGATATTCTATTTCATTTCTCCTTTTTTCCTCCACTCTAAAATCGGCGGTTGTCTAGCGAAGTTTACTACGAAGAAAGCTGTCACTTTAAAAAAATTTTTTTTTTAATTATAATCACTTTTTATGGAGGCCTTGGTATTTGACAATATAAATGTTGTTACATTTGTAACAGGGTCTATTTTAATAAGGAAGAAAAAGAAAATATATCCCCAAAATCCCTAACCCTCCTGCCCCAAACTTGCTCTTGTGAGGTGAGATTAAAACCTCTTCACAGAATGGGTGGCCTTCACACTTAATCTCTGTGTCAAAAACTATTTGTGTGTTCAAAGTATTTTTTTAAAAATTGTCTTAAATGTCTGCTTCTGGCGAGTTAATATACGATGGTGAGGTTTAAAGAAACTTTTATTTTTATCTTTCTGTAGCTTTCATTAAAATTAGTGCTGAGGCTTCGGGTAATAGCTGGTTCTGTAGAACTAATTTTCTGGCTGTGGCCAAATCCATTAATGTGAATTTAGAGTGGGAAAGTGAGATAATATCCAGTGTTGCCTATTCTGACGTTAGAATGATAACAAGGCATATGGCAAATGCTAAATAAGATTTCACTTCTCCCCAAAACTGGCTCACCTCACGGTCTGTCTCCTCTTCCCCTCACTTCGAACAGTTTGGAGAATCTCTTAGGCCAAGCGTATGTTAATGTTTTGGAGATAAACATTAGCATATTGAAAGAAAGCATTTTACTTACCTTTTATATGTTTATTTTTAAAGTCGGAATGGCTGAGGAAACGTCAGGTTTAAAATGGGTGGTGCATTTTAATGGACTTACATTAGATAATTTTTTAATACATTGTAATAAATACAACCAAAATAATTTTTTTCTGTCATTTATCATAATACTTTGACAAATATCCCAACTATGTTCATAGAAAAGGGGCTGACGATCTCATATTGTCTTTTTATAGATCCTTTCAAATAATGATAATACTAATAATAATACATGATAATAATTTATTTGTTTATTTTAAAGAATTAAAACTCATCATGCATCCATACATATACAATTGCTTTGCCATTGGAACCTACGTTTCTCTTTAACCCCTTAAGGACACATGACATGTGTGACATGTTATGTTCCCTTTTATTCCAGAAGTTTGGTCCTTGAGGGGTTAATAAGCCAGGTACTGAGCAGAGGTCATTTACATCACTTATATCACAAATGACGATATCAGCTATTATTTTAATAGCTTTATATATTTTGCATATTTCCAAAAACCATGATCATATATATACAATTTACCAAAAATGTGGCAAGCAATAAAAAAATTACTTTTGTCAGTGTTTCATTTTAAATTTCATACTTTCTTCAGGATAAGAAACAAACAAAAAAAAGTCTGTAAGTAATTTATCGGCATTTCAGATGTTAAATGTGTCTGAGAACACGTTTATTCTGTGACTGACATTCATCTGAAATAAAGAGAAATGTCTCACTCATAAAATAAATACAGGCTAGCTATGAAAAGTTAGGTATACTCGGAATCCCGTAGATGGGCCTCTAAATATGCCTTTATGTTTCCCTGACTACAAAGGAAATGTACACTATCCTGTGAGGCAAATTTCTTGTTTTGACATACTTTGCTCTCTGTTGTACTCATGGATGTTTAGAGTAACCGCTCACTTTCTACCACAAAACCGTGAATGCAACTCTTTCATCAGTTCTCTCCCAGTACATGACATTTTTAGTTTTTCTTTTTCTTTAATTGAACAACCATGGCCGTATATGTGTGTTATTTCATGATTGCTACTTCATCCTATAAAGTATGTAATGGCCATCTTCTCATGTTTTGCATTATTACATCATATTCTATGCATTTTAACAATGTGGTCTGAGCAGAATATTTTTTTCGTCAAATTTAGAATGCTGATTATTGAAACAGATTGTAACTTAGTGGACATAACTCACACAGTATGTAAGCATAGTTTTAAACAAGCGTGTTTGATTCCATAACTCCCAAATGTGAACTGAAGTAACAGACAGCGGCAAATGTAGTGGATGCCCTTCACTTAAAATTGTTCTAGAACAATTCATTAATCTGTACATAGGTTGAACACCTGTTCACACATTTGAAAAAGAGTACTGGCTGATACATAATCAGGTTTACAGGGCTACCATCAGAAATTTTAGGGACATTTTTACACAGCTGAAGACATGGGTCCCCAGAGTCCACTCCCAAGTCAGACCACATTTGATTACGCACACTGGACCAGCTCAAAGTCTGCCCACCGTGCCCACACCCATTCCACCACGATCTCCCAGGCACTTAGAACTGCAATCCATTGCTCCTGTCCCGCCTGCTGGATGTATTGTGTGTGAGTATAGGAGTTGTAGTGGTGGTGTGTGAATGGAATGTATTTGTGCAGGGAATGTAGCAAGTGTTTGCAGGGCATGTAAAGTGTTTGTTTAGGGGATCCGGTGTGTGTTAGCTTATCTCCCAAGTATCCCTATTCAGGAGGGACAGTCCCTATTTTGGTTCCTAATCCCTTTGTTCCTCTTTTCTATCCTAATGTCCATCTTTTCTAGAAGCTCCATATTGTTAGTGTGTGTGAGTATATAACAGAGCTCCAAAGCAATAATACTCACACTAATATGTCTTACAACTACATTACATGTGGTTAGAAATCAGTCTGTGTAACTAAGATAAATTCTTCTTCTTCTAAATTATATTTAGGTTGCTTAATTTTTTTATTAGTGTGGAAAAATCAGGTCTTGTGTGCCTCATTACAAATCTGCTTCTCAATCAATCTCCCTTCTCTAATTCTCACCTGTCATCCAATTACACCACCACATTCCTTCACATTCCTCTCCGAATTAATCTTATTTTTGTTTTTCCAAATAAGTTTTATTGAACAATTTTTAAAAATGTATTATTAACAATGTATAACATGATAGTAATGTAACGGCACCCCAGGCATAAAAGGGTTTAACCGCAGTTTAGTAGATCTTCCCCTTCCAGAGACACAGGCACAGCTACTGCAGAACCCCAAACTCCCGAACAGGATACCAAGTAGCACTCCAAACTCCCAAACTGGAACCTCACGAATAGCTGCTAGCAGCTGAAGAGGAAAAGCACCCAAGCGGCTTACACTCCTGGCAATCAGTCTCTAACAGCATACAGTAAATCCCCCCAAGAACGAGACAAAGCTCCGTGTTAAGGGTCAAGCAGTGAACAGACAAAGCTGTGGGTTTATTGTTCTTATATACACCTTAGTACCACCCACAGGGTTTTGGAACACAACCAATAAACACATACAATATACTCAGACACTCCCATACAAAATCCTCCCCTCTGCCTGTGATACAATTACCTTACACAATGGGTAATGTAATTATAACAAGCAGAGAAATACAATTTTTCCACATTATTCATAACTTGAAAAGTATGCATCACATTCACATATAACTTACATTTTCAGAATCAGCATACTCCAAGTATAAACATACATCAAAATAATACAAATTGGTCCAGTGGCTCAAAAGATAGATCAAAGTCCTTTGTGACCAAATGAAGCATGGCTTTTCTGCCCAAAACCAGTTTCACAGAGTCTTCTATCCTGAAGATAATTGGGAAGTAATTAAATTATCTATAAGGACAGAGGCAAAACTCCATTGAACACATGGCAGCAAAAGACAATAAAACACATAAAAACATATAACTGTGCAGCCATTGCACAAAACAGGTACATTCAACATATCCCCAGATAGCTTAGATCTGAGCGCACATTATTACTGAATGGCGATCAGAGCACACACATACAGTTCAATTGCCATGGAGCCAAATTTTTTCCCATGGTCTCATTATACAAATGGGCTCCATGGCATAGCTATCTGGGGTATCACCGCTCAAACAGGGCAAGCACCAAATGACCCGGCTTTCATGTCTTTGCAGGGGAAAATCAAGCCTTTTAACATGGGGCCATAATCCAAAGGCAACAGGCGAGCAACCAGGCTTCTCCAATGCAATGTGGCGAGATTGGTCTCGTCACAAGTAACAAACAATAAAATTATACATAAAAACAAACAAACAGGGAAGGGGGAAAATTAAAGGAAAAGTGAGTAGGGGATTCCATGCATGATGGCATAAAATAAGATTTGTACAGAAAAAGAATAACACATGTTACAGAATATATTAAAACCCTTAATATATGTTTGTGTTGTTACTCAGCGTGTTGCAGGGCATGCGTAATTGTCTATAGGAGAAACTGTACATTATTCTTTTGGGTGAAGGTTGCCACAACTCCAACTCACATATTTTATTATACAGTGCTAAAATCAGCACGTCTTTCATAGATGGAATAGTAGATTTTTATCCCATAGATCTGTAATGATTCCCTATTCCTTACTAAATGTCCTTATTTCTTTACTAAACGTCATGACTTCCTTATTAAAGGCCGCATTACTATGTGTTTAACCCCTTAAGGACACATGACATGTCTGACATGTCATGATTCCCTTTTATTCCAGAAGTTTGGTCCTTAAGGGGTTAATTGCCACGGAGAATATTTTCACAGTCATACATACTGCATGTTATCCATCTTAAATTTTTTTGCCACCCCTTCATTCCTCTGAATCCATTAAACTTCATCTCTGCTACTTCTCACTTAATCCTTTGTATTTGAATTTGGGGCCTCCTCGTCCACCAAAATGGACTGGCAAATCCATGCAACAAAATTGAGGCATTTGAACCTACGACATTCTGGGTATCAGAAGAAAGCCATATATACCTCTTAAAAACGCAGCAACATATAATATGTATGGGGTGCACAAAATGAAAATGCATGACAATGATATCTAAGGTTAAAAATATTTGGGTTAAAACAGCTTCAGTCATAAATGAACAGATTTTTTGGATAACTTTAGTCACTTAGGGGTTCCAACTAGAGTTCTATCGAACTCCACAAATGGTTGACAGGACTAACTGACATTGCCCAGAATAGTTGATGAGATCTATATATGAAGAATTGAGACTTGGCTTTCTAAGTACGTGGCATAGACACAAGTTTAATCCGCTCATTTAAAAATCATAAATTAGTAATGGGAAAATCATTGTGCCATAAATAAAAAGAAAACCTCAACATTGAGAAAATCACTTAAATTTTGGAAGAGAGAGTTTAAATTGTTGGAGAGATTATTTAGAACCTTGGTAACGTGAATTGCCATAATGGTTTATACATGATTCCATAAGATTTGGCAATGGATTAAGTTTTCCAACATTAATGCCAGCTATTTTTAGTAGAGAAATGTTTTCTTTTTTATGCAATTATTCAAAGTGATATGTGACTTTTCAATGACAAAACAGGGTATTTGTTTTTGTTCAAGTAAGCCATAGAGTACCAGAACCTCCTTCACTAACGAAATGATTGTTCAACATCTGTAGAGCTGCCCTTTGAGCCTCTAGCCATGGGCCCTGTGCTTTTGTAGGGGAATCTACACTGGTGTGTGTAGGGCATGACCTGGTTCTCCCGAGCCATGCTTCTGGGACTACTGTGGTTGCAAATATGTCTTCTGAGAATAAAGTATGAACTGGAGCTGGGGAACCAACAACACAACAACCCAGTTGTGTGCCCCCATGCATAGGGAGTAAGACATCTTTTTACCATGCATCCAGCCTTGGTATCTGCAGTTTCCATTCTTCTTTATACTATGTTGCAAGGAGGAAACAAACATCTTGATACACCAGAATAGGAATGGGCATGTCATCCTGTCAAATGAGAAAAAAAACAAAAAAAACAAACCGCACTCCAATCACATGAAGATCCAGGTGCTAAACTGGACCAAGGGCCAGCACCAGCCCCAGCACCAGGGAGTAGATATCAGTGGTAGAAAGAGGATCCAGGCACTCCAATTATCTTCAATTTTATTTATTTGGATAAGTGAGACATTGCAACGTTTCGACCCCTGAAAGGGTCTTTGTCAAGCTATATCACACCAGAAATAACAACCATTTATAGGCAAAAGCATAGTAAAAGGGTAGTGAAAGCATAGTGAAAGCATTCGCCATGCTTTTGCCTATAAATGGTTGTTATTTCTGGTGTGATGCAGCTTGACAACGACCCTTTCAGGTGTCGAAACGTTGTGGTGTATCACTTATCCAAATAAATACAATTGAAGATACTTAGTGTGCCTATATCAACTTTCTACCACTGATATCCTGTCAAATGAGACTGAAATTAGGTGCTTTCAGCTGAATGGTGATGATTGATTTTGGGCTGTGTGAATGGAGGTGGTTCCTTGTTTCTATCTCTGCTGATAATGTGCTAGCTAACTTTGCAGCCACTCAGGTAGCCACAATCCAAATAGCTTGGTGTACATAGACCTATATTGGATTATGAATACAGGCACAGAGACTATCTGAGGCGAGATACCAGAGGCAAAAGACTAAAATGTTTGGTTTTAAAGTATTTATAATATTTCCACTCTGTAAACACCTCATTTTATGTACACAGGGTTACTTTCACTCTCTATAAGAGGTCCATAGTGAATACAATTTTTTTTCTTTGTTGTTGCGCACCATCACTACTGTAAGTTAAAAGACTAAAATGTGGTCGCTGGTTCTGTGCATCAGGGCAGGCAACAAAGGTTCATAAATTATTTATTTATTTATCAAATATTTTACCAGGAAGGATACATTGAGATTTCTCTCGTTTTCAGGTATGTCCTGGGTCCATAAATGATCAATGGTTCCAAACATTCAGTGCAGGCAGCAAACAAGATAGTCAGGGTACAACACCGGAAGTCAGAAAGCCTGGAATCAGTATAGAATAAAGGATAAGGAGAAAAGTTGCAGGTATATACTAGAGGTAGTCGTGTAATAAATCAACAATGTAACCTGGAGACCATTGCTATTTTTAGAAGCCACATAAGTAATGGAGCAGATATATAAGTTGCTGATTTGATTGAATGTACAGACATGTCCAGTTTCCTGTATTGGTGTCTAAGGTGTGTCGTAAAAGATGAAACATGGTTCTGTGTTTGTGTTAGAGATAAACTATCATTATGATGATTGGGAACAGATCCAGAGGGGAACCTTTGTATTGTAACTTGACATCCAGATTGACATTAGGCAATTATGGAGAAAAAACACATAAGAGACCCAGGACTATCTTGGAAGGGGTCACTAAGCAGAAAACATTGCTCAGCATGCCTTCAACTCATACACAGCCTCAACCCGCTGCAACTTACTTAGTGCTATTATTTGTGAGCAGCTAAGCATTAAAATAGTTAAGCATGGAATATTTATAACAACCAAAGCTTACAGTTATCTGAGTAACAATTGTTTGAATGTAAACTAGTGGTTGTGTTATTTGTAAGAACTAATTTTTCATGGCAGCATAATAAAAACAGAATGTTCACTACAACATATTAGAATTTAACAATTCTCTATACACACATATTAATCCATGTATTGTACTGTATTCCTGTTTAGCTAATTATCCAATCTCATGCTTGTCTCCAAAATTTGTTTTAGAGATGATATATTTTGTATCTGCTTGCCCTATTCTAATTGGAGAGTCATTTTTAACTTCGCCTTGGTAACTACGCTGGTATTTATTTATGTTAGCTCTATATCTTTTAACAATGTATGAGCGCGGTTGAAATATCACTGAGGTTTTATATTTGTTAATATTGTTCTGCAAATAAAGTTATACAAAACTGCATATCTGTGTTATTGCACAGATGTTT